TTAGAAGACCTTTACACTGCTTTTATCTGATCCCTTTAGTCAGGTGTATCTTAGTGGGTGTTTTTTTTTTTCCCCCATTACTCTTTTAATCATACAGACTTTAGTTTCAGAGTGGAGCTGTGTTCTTGTCATCTTTTTTTTTTTCTTTCTTTTAATGTGCCCTTCTGGAAAAGTGTTTGTTTTCTCCTTACAACTTCCTTCATGCCTTGCATGTCTCACTTCTAATTATACGAAGGATATTTGCTGCTCTTACTCTTCATGTTGAGAAAAGGAGTGTTTGGGGTTTTTTTATGTTGTCTGCATATACTCTGAAAATTGTTGGCAGCAAATGCTAGTTGGGGACTAGTGGCTGCTTTCTCCCTCGCTTACCCTCTCCCCTTGCAAGTTTACTGTGACTTCATCAAGAATTCCCGTTCATGTTGTTATTTTATTACCTTGTGTTTTGTGGTGAATTTATTTCTTACAGAGTTCAAAAATACCTCAATATTTCTCTGTCATCACTGTGTTTTGTCCAACTATTTAACATTAGTATTTATCACAACATAAATTTTGCTAATAAATCCAACATATTTAGCTTAATATCATTTTCATTTGATCCACTGAGTTTGGAATTAGAATGAATTTTGATTATTCCATAGGCCATCTTTTTATCCTTCTTTCATTTTACCTCCATTCCCTCACTTTAATTCTGTTAAAAAAAAAGCTTCTGTTAAATCTGTCAGATTAAAAGACTTTGGAATAAAAGTGCTTTGCTTGTAAGGAAGCTGAAACCAGGATCCCTCTAGACTTGTTTTCTTCATGTCCTACATCTTCCTCAGCCTTGATAATGACAACAGACCAGTCAGTTTGATCCCAGAGGTGGTTGGTAGGAGGCATTTTGTATCCCTGGATTTTGATCCCGTTTTGTACACGACTGCAGGCTCCAAGTCAGGCTTTTGTAAGAGCTCCTTTTTACAGGAGCTAAATGCTGTCCCAGCTATCACCTAACTTGTGCATGTACTCTACTAATCAAGCACTATTTCATGTTATTTTTCCTTGATCTTAGTTCTTAATCTTGTATTTTTAAATTTTTTTTTGCATTAAACCGAAATGTAGTTTTAACAATCGTAATACATTTCTTATTAGAACTGATGGTTTTATACAGAGATTGCAGCATCTCCTTTTTGTCTGTCTGCATAATTGTTACGAGCCTGGTAGGCTAATGAGGAGATGAGTAGAGGTTCACTTGCTTTGTTAATAAAATTGGAATATCGGTACTGGACTGTAAAAGCGTGATTGTCTTGATTGTCTTTTGAAATTTTAGCCATTTTGCCTAACCTTCAACACATGAGGTTATACTTAAAAATAAAGGCAATATGATGAAAACGGGGTGGCTGCTGGAGGTTTAGAAGTAGAAGAAGTTCTTTGGGGGAGCCACACGGTCGCAGTCGTGTTGCGTTGTGCGCGCTCTGTGGCTGGGTCGTTCCTCAGCACACGAGGCCGGTCGTGCAGCGCCAAGGACCAAGTGTCCTCAGGGTCCTGCCCTGGGATGGGGACGCGCCTGCTGCTGGCCCCATCGTGGGCCCTCAGCAAACCCGCAGCAAACCCATCCCCCAGGCTGCGCTGGAATTTTGGACATCTCTTTGCATCCTTTTGCGCGATGACAGAGAGGCCTCCTCCGGCAAATAAAGTAAATGAGAAAATTAAAGAGAAACTGCTTGCAGGTTTGTTTAATGCGTAAAAATCCTCTGTGGAGATTGGCTGCAGAAGCCAGAGCGAGAATTTGCGGAGGAGGAAAAAGCAACTGTACAGCTGTTCTTGATTAAGGAACATGCAACAGAAACAGTATCTTCATGAAAATGAACCAGCCTTAAAAAAAATTAACAAATTGTACAAAGTGTCCGTATTAATAAAAAAAAAAGCAACATTTTTTGATTCCTAAGAGCACAGCAAAATATCCAACCTAAAAAGAGTCTATGTGCTAAAGTGTGTAGCTTAGTCATCAGGATTATGAGGTAGCACTAAGCTATACCATCAGTAGTACAGCCCTTAAATCTCTGGAGGGCTGGATTATTATTAATATTTTTTAAAATCTAAATTGGGTCTTAAATGCTTTGGCACTTTCAGGTTAGCAGAAAGAGCCTGGAGGGCACTATAAAACACTCCGAGTGACATAAAAATTCAGTGCTCTGAATACTGAGCTTTGCACGAGTAGATGGTGCCAAGGGGAGGGCTCCCTGCAGTCAGGAATGCGGGGCTTTGGCAGAGGTAGGAGTGAAATCCTGCCGTGCCAGCGTGTGCTGTGCGTGATGAGCCGGGGATCGGGGGCCTTCGCTGCAGTTCACTGGGAGGATGTTTAAAAACGTCGGCTGCTCTGATCAGCCCTGTTCGCCAGCTGCGGCTCGGCGGTCAAGCAGGACGGGTGAGTGTCTCCATAAACCTCCCAGGAAGGGCTCGAAAAGGAAGCTGGCCTTGGTGAAGGGCAGCCCGCTATCCTGGGGGAAGGAGGCAGGGAAACAGCACAGGAAGCAGCAGAGAAGAGGAGCAAAAAGAGGTTGGAAGGGCCACTTGATGCCTGCCTGTGTACGTCAGGAGTGTCTTAAATCAGGGTCTAATGCTGCGAGATGGAGGAAGGATTTTTTCTTCCCTCCCAGAGCAGACCTTAGGCAAGAATCCACGCTACTTAGTTGTGTTAGGACATACACATACACTGTCTCAGGAGGTGAGGTGAACTAAATATGCTAAATAAAAAGCCTGGAACAGGAAAACAATTAATTTGGATAAGAAAATCATCCCATAAAAGCAATGGGCTGCTTTAATGCTCTGCTGTGTTCTACCCAGTATCATCAAAAGTTTATTTGTTATAACACACAGATAAATACCAACTAGCACAATCACTTTTCAAACTTCTCATGGTATTAAATATACCTCATTAAGTTATCCCACACTTTCCTGACATTTCAGAAGGAGCTGAAACAAATAATTTTGTGGAAATAGAACAAAGATAAAGCCATCTTGTATGCCTGTGTTAGCATTCAATCTTTTATTGTGCATTCACATTCTGATTTTTTTTTCCACTGGCTTCTCTCTCCTATTTAAACTACTGTTACTTGCTGTAGATGCAGGATTGTTCACTGCTTACACACACTTTGTAGTGTGTGCACACTTTGTAAGTATCTTTGAGAGTTTTCTGGGTTGTGGGGAAGTACTTGGGATTTTAAAGCTATTTTCTTACACAACAAGAATATAAAAATCCTGGACGTTGCGTGAGAGCATATGTGAGGCCCATAGAACTTGGCCCGTTCCATTGTGTTTTGGTCCAATTTTTCTAGCTTCCTACTCTGGGAAAGCCCATGTGATTATTTAGTGCATGTTGTTGCCTGCCCCTTTTTCCTGAACGACTGGCCTGCTCCTGCCTACCTTTCTTCTATCGCTGTCTCTCTGTGCTGCATTCTTCCCCTATATGTTAGCGTTCCAGGTGCACAGTTATTTTTATTTTTTAGTGCACCTCTGTGTCTCACTTTACTGAACAGCAACAAGAGGCGAGTACTTGTGTGGAGAGGCACCTGCCTTGCACACGGGCGCGCTTTGCCACGCACGCAGCCCGACTAGGGACTTTGCCGAGAAAGAGCCTCTCCCTTTCTGAGGTAACGCCGGAAATCCCCGTCACAGGCTGACCCAGAACAGCGGCCGGGACCCAGGCGGGCAGGGCTCGACCTGCGCCAGTGCCACCGATTATTCAGAGAACGTAGCTGCTGAACTCACCTGCTCTCTTTGGAAAGGCTGTGAAATGCGGGTTTTGAAAATCAAAAGTACTTCCCAAATCTGGGAGATTTGCCTCAGGGTTGTATTAGCAATGGTAGCGTAGGATCATGGTGCATCTCCGCCATGGAAGGAAGGGAGCCTGCCAAATAACATAGGACCCCTGCTGCAAATCCAGCCCCACTGAGCCCTGTGTCCCCACGGGACAGCATGGTCCCCAGTGAGTTCCTGTAGTGTCCAACCCTGGTTGACCCTCCCCCCTGGAGCTCCCCTTTCACCTGTGCCTCAGGTATATGATAACTATTACCCATCTGTGGGCCACATCAAGACTTACTGCTCAAGGGGGTAGAAATGCTGGCCAGCCTGGTGCCGAGCCGTCCACAAAACCTGGCTGAAGTGGTTTTAAGATTGAGCGGAAGACGGGTGGCCTGCCTGTGTCTGTGTTTTGGAAAATGACTGACTTGATTCAGATGTGGCTTTCAAAGCAGAAAATGCAGAAATTTTCAACTGGAAGCATTCCCTTTAGCAAAGGCAGAAACAAATGATCACAGAGCTTACCATGCAGGAATCAAGGAGCAATTTTAGCCACCTCTAAAACTGATGTGGTTCGTGTTACTGTCATTGTTCATCACCAAGAGATCTATACCTTTTTTTTATCATTTAGAATCACCGATACAGTAGTTCGCTTGTTCTTATTGTGGGCAACTTAACAGTACCTTGTTTTGTTATACACACTGCAATGAGCTCTTCAAAAATGTTTCAGAAGATACTTAATAATGATGAGGTGTATAATGCCTTCTTAATTGGACTGTGATGAAATTTAATAATTTCAAATGTAATTCTAACATGTCAAGGTTTTCTTGAGAGTATGGGATACAAAGGAGCTTTATAACCTCTTGGGATATATGATGTTTAATTAAGTCACTGCATTTCTCAAAAATGAAATCAGTGAGTAGTAATATCATACATTCTCAAAATGCTTACTGGTTTAATAGGTCAAATGGTGTAATAGTGTTTAGCTTTAGGCACAGAGAAGCTCTTAAAGGCTTTCAGCTTCTTCGTTGTTCTTTCCTGCTTGTTCCATATGATAATGTAATACACGATAATTGCTGAAGTTTTACCCTGTTAACCTGACACTCCAGTAAATTGTCATGTTCTAGCAAAAAAAGCAGGGCATTATGCGAGAGAGCACTTCAACACCTAAATCTCTTCAGCATCCAAACACATTACATTTCTCATTTTATTTTACTGTTTTGCAGGACTGCATTGATGTAGGCTGGTGGGAAGGAGAGCTCAATGGCAGACGGGGAGTGTTTCCAGATAACTTTGTCAAGCTCCTTCCCTCTGATTTTGAAAAAGAGGTAAGTAATCTATTGCTTTAGCTTCACATAAGAAAAAAACAAAAATGAAACAAGAGGTAAAATTCTGTTTGGAGTACATGATTTAGACATAGTTTTGCTTCTGACTTAATAACAAAAAAATTGAGAGCACCAAATTTCTGGGTTACAAAGCGTCTGTGAACAGTGTGGCACTCCTAGTCATACTGGACAGTTTCTTTGAAGGGTTTCACATGGCCTGTCCAGTCAGTCAGCTTCCACTCATCGCCCTTAATGCCCTCCAGTCTCTGTTCTAAGTTTAAGAGACAGAGAAGCTGGAGATCCCAGTGTCATTTGATGGGACAGATGGTGCAAAGGTGATCAGAATTGTTAACTTGTCTCTATTATTTTTGTAGTAGAATGCAAAGTATTTGCACGCTGTAGATGGATGTCATCCTGAACTTGTCTCTATTATTTTTGTAGTAGACTGCAAAGTATTTGTGTATCACGCGCTGTAGATGGATGTCATCCTATCTTGCCAGCTGTCAGAGCTGCAAACACTCTTCCAGAATGAAAAGGATGAAATTTTAACTGTGAGACTTGAAGGAGAATCATCAACATTTGTAATTTCAAAGACATGTTTCATTACCGTCTCAGAAATATTTTTAAAAAGAAAGCAAAAAATCCCTGAAAAAGCTTTTTCAGCTTATATTGATATGAAAGTTGAAAGCAGAATTATTATTCCCCAAACAACATTTAGAAATACTGCAGCTTCCTCGAAGAAAGCAATGGATTGCTTCCCACCCAAAAGGCTGTTCTGTGTTAAGGAATCCATTTTCAGGCGTCAGGGTGGTTTTATGTGCTTGCAGTTGGAGGTTTGATGAGTGTTGCATGGTGACTGTGTAAACCTTCTGTGATAAGGCAAAGCCTTACGCTCTACTTCAATCTTTGGCAATAAAACTGGCTGCCAGAGGCAAAAATTAAATAACCTGGAAAGCTTGACAAAGGAATTGTGAAGCAGCTTACAAAAGATAACATGATAATTACTGAAAATGAAGGTAGAAGAGCAGCAAAAACTGCTGGAGATTAAAATGCAATTCCATATCACAGTGGATATCCTGGCTTTAGGCCTGGTAATAAAAAAGGTGGTTTTCAGAAGAGGCAGAAATCATAAACCTTAAGACATTGTGAGTCTTCAGATAGTATCACTGAAGAAAAGAATCTTTACTCATATCCAGTATTTCAGTGGTAAAAGTTATTCAGTCTTTCTGAACTAATAAATGATATATCTGGTTTTTTACCCTTCAGAATATGACGAATATAAAATGTAGAACAAATTAGAAATATTCAGACACCTAGAACTGAGAAACTGCAAAGTTATCCAACATTTCTCTTTTAAAATTTTTAGTCTTCTCTAAGAAGACTAAAAGAAGACCGTTAGCCCAGGCACAGTGAGGCTTGGAGAGCATCTCTCGCTTGACCGTCACGGTCGGCTCTCGGGGGCTGGGACCTGGGCTGCTGCCAGAGGAGCCCTAGGCCGCACGCTGCAGTGAAGGAGCGCG